CCAGACATACAGATATATATATACAATATATATATTTGCTTTTTGCGTCTGAATCTCTTCACGTCAATGTTCCTGGTTAACTCTATTTCATCCACTAGGAATGCAAACAGCCTGGGTGTTTCGTAACACAGATAATATACTTAGACTGCCCCGACCGATGATTCAAGGATACTTGACATACGGAGGAAGTGTATACGGGAACCTTACCCATTGGCCTGAGGTTGTTCATGCAATGAAACCAAGTGACTAGGATGCTGAATAGCTTCCGCTGTCGAAGACACTTCGTAGCTGCGGATTTTCAGAGAAAATATCTACTGCTTCAGCTGCTGAAATGTCTTACCTCGTACCTAGGAAAGAAATTGGTTTGGCGCAACTCGACATAAAAGTGGCATAAAGGAATTAGTAGTGCGCCACTGTATTCGGTGGAACGTGCTTTTGAATGGATCATAAATATGGCTTTGTATGTTTTACGGTCCAAAGTGCTTGGGCTTCGCTAGATAATGGATCACCTTCTTAGAATGCAGGTAGTATTTACGATCTAAGGCCATACGCGTTATTTTTGTACGATTGGGAGTCGTCCAAGCGGTATATAAATCTATGAAAAATTGTGTCTGCAGACGTGAAGTATGTTTGCTTACCGCATGACGCTTAGCATTACTAACCTCTTCTGGCCCGATATATCTCGACCCGGTTTTGGGCACTAGGGTTAATGCATCATGATACTTTCACTTGAACTCCATTTCCTTTATGTAGGTAAAATGATAAAATGATCCGTCAATTTTTGGGTTGGAATGGGTTTCTGGTTGGCTACCCATCGCGTATGAAGGCCACTCTTATGGCAGCTCTAGACGATCATGATCCGATTCCCTTAGTTGTTCACGTCCTTCGACAGCCGAAGGGTTTGCGCGGACCACCGTGAGAAGACTGTTGAGCACTGTAAACTCCATTTTCAATTTGATGCTGTAAACTACCGGTTTGTACGTTGTCTGGACTTCGAAGTTGTTGGTGTACTCAGTGGCGAGAAGGGTCGCATCCAACAGTACCGTGATGATGTTGACAATGATGAGGTTAATGATAACCGTTTGCCCAACAGAACCTTTCATATCAAGAACAGGTCTCAGATCTGTCATTGCTTCCCAGATATACAGAGCGCTAATGATCGTCTCTTGGATGGCGAACCCAGTCAGTTGGATCCGCTCATAGATATTGAATGGCGTGACGAAGCTCTTGACGCCGAGGTTGCTCCCAAGAAAGAAGATGGTAACAGGGACATGCAAGACGCAAAAATTGAATGCGATCATGTATAGAACCCAGCGACAGTGGCGTGAATGGGTGGTCACCAGATGTAGTCGCGAATATAGCACCACGGACTGACCGGTCACCATGGCGTACCAGCCAATGCAAATCAAAACGCACATAGGGAAATTAGGAGCGAGTGCAAAGTATCGAAGAAATACCGAAATGGCGTGAAGTAAGATCCCCAAAGTAGCGATCAGCATGCTCCAGAAGTAGAGTCCGTGGCGACATTTGAAGGTGGTGAAGATCGAAATCACGATTTCCAGAACATTATAACATGCTAGAGCGAAAAATGCTGCAATCAACATGGCCATCGCCCGGGACACGTTGATGGGCCCTGCTTCGCCAGCCATGATAACAGCCGACCTGGTTGGCGAGCATGGAAGAGAGGGAGTGGCAGATGGTCGAGTTTTGTTATCAGGATGATTATCGCTCAGACCGTTATGGGCGATCTGAGCATACTCATTGTTTCTTATGCTCGCTTCTCTGTGGCGAGAAGAAAAGCACGTTAGCCTAGGCCCGTTGTTGACTTGAGTCAACAGCATCATCACCCACAGATATGATAATCGCTATAGTTGGGTGGCGCTTTTCTCCACCAATGGGGAATTAGCGACCGTGCCAAGCCCATTCTCTAGGACCTGACAGGTCACAGAAGGGAACAGAAACTATGGAAAACAGTGTCACCCGTCTAATTATTGACAGAGGGGTCTGTGTCAACCTCTGGGCAGTCGCAGTCGGCGATTGTCCATCCTCTCCGTGGCGCTATCCATGTTCCTCTACTATGTAGCTGGAATTGTTCACCCGGTCCCGTTTATTTGCGCTGGCTGGCAGTTTGTATCACCAAATAATATTAGTCTTACGTGTGGGCCATTACGAGTAGTAAGCTGTGTCGGCTTCCCGAGGATGAAGGACAGACTCTCATGCTCCTTTAATTTACATGACCACCTAAAAGCATAGTACAACCACCCTACCCCACCGTGTTTTCTTGCCCTATAGCCGAAATTTGTTATCGCCGCCTTTTGGCATGGGCGATCTCTTTTGATGGTTCCACTGTCGGGTTTGGAAAATAAAACAGAGGATTTGTTCTTTTCTGAAGTTTATCGAGATTGAAACCATGTTTTCGCGACCGGCTATGGAATAGAGCCGACATGTTCTATGTCAAGCCACAATTGTCAACGTGAAGAGGTGACCCACGGGAAGAGTTGACGTGGCGGTCACCCTTCAAATACCGATTCTCCCTATAGCTGTAACGAGGCAATAGAACCAGTTTTTGGCGTCCTAAGGGGGTTCTCGGGTAATTACCCAGAATCCATTCAGACATAATCAATTTTCGGCAAATAATCTTCTCGCTGCGCACGGAACTAGCCAGGTTTCTTTGGTTGCCCAAAATTAGTGTACAAAGTTTATTAAACGACATCCCTAACTCTTGACCCGTTTCTCAAAACGATATGAATGTGAAGTGCGAAGACCCGAGAATTATCGCAAAGTGGTTTTTTTTCCTTATTAAAAACGATTGTTCAGAACAGGATCGATCCGGATCATATTTATAACTTTGAAGAGACCGGTTTCGTACAGGGTTAATAGCTACCGCAAAGGTCATTATGAGAGCTCAATGCTACGGTGGCAATTGTTTTTACAACCTGGAAATTGCGAGTGGGTGACCGCTACTCACTGTACGAATGCTTCGGTTTTGGCCTTACTTCCGTACGTTGTTTTCGAAGGCAGGGATTATATTGGATCTTGAATCGGTACCCCTCCGAATGATTGGAGATTTGAACGAGCAGCGTCTAATAAAATCGGCCTTTATTGGCTCGAAAAGCTGTTTAATCTGTCGACCATTTCTCGTGCGAAGGGAAGTTCCAACTCGTGATACTCAACAGCCACGGAAGTGAATTGACGGCAAAATTTGGCGAAATTCGCGAACAACTGGTATTATAATTGATACCGGCTGATTTGTAGCTTTAAAGCGTTCGTACGGTCAGATGGTTATAATCAAGATACGAGACGGGAGGGGTCAACCATATTGACAGACTAGACTTACTTTACCCCAATTCTTCCGCACGAACTCGGGCCTTTCAATCCCATCTCATTGAAAAATTGCGTTGAGGCAGCCAGTTTAATGCCTCTTTGACCCGGCCGAGTGATCCCAAACTTTGATATTTAACTTTGAACAGCAAACCCCCTCCCTTCTGAGCTAGGGTAATAAACGAGAGCCAAAATTGCCTTTGAACTATACGAAACTACAAAGGTAAGCTTTGTTCATTAAAGCGTTACTTCGTATGAGGTCTCGAACCCCTCCGAGTCCGATTAAAACCTGACTTTAAAAGCGTACAAAAATTCGATGCAATCGGCTGCACTTGACGGGAAAGGAGTAAGCAATTTACAGGTCACAAATGAGAAGCATAAAAAAAAGGGCACTTGATCTAGAAAGTAAATACCATCTACCGAAGGCCTTTGCCGCCTTTACAGCCGGGAAGAAAAGCATTACTGAATGGCGGTTTATTGCAAAATTCAGGGACATAGAAGAGGTACATGTCCAGTTTGACCTAGATAGGCAGTTTTATTGACTAGGTAGCGTTATGGTCGAGATAAAAGCATCTAAATTTAATAGCTCGGGTTTCGTGGCCTACACGGTGGTCAGTCACGTTAGGCGTCCTTATACGGTTATATGATGCTCGTGCATAACGTGTTCCAAAAAGTATTCCAGCAGAGCTACCTTCTTGATCTATTTGCCCATGGAGAACATTTCATCTCGCATTGACTTATTCCACCAATGAATCGACCATCGAAGCCCTCATTACTGAGCTGAAAACGTATGACCCGTCCCGTCAGGTCACGTCTCATAGAGTGAATGTTAGCAATGCAGACGACATTGCAAATATGTTTGGGTAAGTTCAGTCACTTTATACGCAGTGTAGGCCGGGTATCCAAGTTTTGACCGTAGGTCACGGCAAACGGACGTCAAGCATTAGGGAGGAATCAGCAGTGGCCTACTCTGCTGCACTGTGCGGCAAGGACCTCTTCATTGACATTATGTAATAACGGTAATTTTAAGGAAATTGTTAAAGTCAGAAACGATAAACGAACTATGCCAGTAATAGTGGAAGAAGTAGGCTATATAACCCCAATAACAAGACCCTAGTGTATAGGGTTAGAGGGGTGGGTTGGGTGCAGCAAACCAGTATTATTCTCAGCTGCTCTACAGGAATATCCCATGTCTAGGGTTTAATGTTTAAGGATACTGCTTGGTTCTGCGTACCTGCTGATCGCTGAAAATCGAATCAGTAGTACTGCTCGCTCATGTTAAACCAGGAAGTTCCATTTGAGTCGAAGGTATGAAAGGAGAGTGACATAGGATCTTGGTGGATTCTATAATCTATGGTCTCATGTTCAGCCCGAGATTTGTGATGAAGTCGAATGAGGCAGTTGTGGCGGGATTAGAAGCATCAAGAGACGAGCATATCGGGATCCTACATCATAGGGCCCGGAGCTTGACCTCTCAAAGCATAGCTTTGTTCGACGTAGCAGCTCTCCAACTGCAACCTTCTCTTCCATCATCATAAATCTCATGGAAAGCATCTGGCACTTACGTTAGAAATTGGCCATTTGAAATAATCTTGACGGTTACCTTGCAGAGGAATGAAGCCACATGTATACCATGGCTGCAAATAAATTAGCAGAAGACTCAATAGCAGGGGGCTGGCTCACAAGTAATATCTTAACGGCATGAACTTCAAGTGTTCTTCAGGATCAACACAATTTGCAAGAATATTCAAGTACATTTTCGCGGCATCAATAGCATCATGCATGAAAGGAAAGTCACGGGTGCCGTTTGAATGGTTGATGGGTATATCCTGATCGTCATGGCAGCCAACGTACAAGTCAGATGACTTTGCTCGGCGCATTTCAGATTTGACAGCTAAGGCATTGACGTCAAAGCGTAAATATTCATAGGCCATCTGAAGTGTTGCTTTTAGGTGTATAGGACCTGTTTTATAATCAGCAGCAAACCGTGGTGTCCAAAAGGTTATCATCACTTCCTCACATGCTAGGATACCCCAAATCCGGTGCCAATTCGACATGGCCACCAAGAGTTCCTCCACAGATTTCAAATGATCTTGATCCATTGTCGCGTGGTCAGTTGTGCAGATATCCGAGTTTCTAAACATATGGAAATTGCTGTGCATTTGAATGAGCTCAAGATGTGCCTGAAAAGTCTTTCCTTGGGCGTCTTCTTCCGGATTGGTAGGTTGGAGTACGGAAAACTCATGATAAACTGAAGCTACGGTATTACCAGGACTGCTAGGCGAAAATGAGCGCCCGAGGCGGGTTGACAACAATCTATCCGACATATAGCAGCCGATCCAGGTAAGCCTCTGTCGAGAGCCTCTTTTAGAGGGCTCGGCAGACTCACCTGGAACAAATGCGCGCTCTAGTCCTAGAAATTGCGCCGCACGCAAAGCAAGACCAACGTGCATCCACGCAGCTCGATCCTCCTCTCCGTTTCCAATATACCCAACGCGTGCAAGGAGGCCGGGAGGCTCCCATTGAGCTAGAAGAAGCAATGCTTCAACTGCATCGATATCACAATCTGCCCCAAAAGAAATCTCGGAAAGAAGTTCTCGCATGTACTCGCAACAGCTCTCGTGGATGTGTTGCATATTGTCGAGAGATTTCGAAGAAATTGTGAGGACAGCGGTGAAGAGGTACTTTTCAGCTGACGCAAATTCATTTAGAGTGTGAGGGTCGAAGTTACCTTTCGGGACCACTGGAAAATAGCTGTGGAAGCGGCTTGCATAAAGTTGAACCAGGCACAGCACAGTTTCAGCGTCTAAAGTACCGTTTTGGACGAGTCTATACTTCATAAGACCAGTGTATGCCTCTTCAAGATCAACGGTGTCCGCCGGGGTGGTATTCGATAATTGCAAATAGGCTGTCCGAGCCCTCTGGGCACTTGATGGTGTTTCAGGACAATCGTGGGATCCATTGGCTATGCCTCTCAAGTACTGCCACGCGTCGGATGGATTCCACGGTATATTCAAGCACATTTTGCTTCTTTAAACTGTTAGATAATGTCTTTTATTTACGAACAAAAGAGGTCTTCAATTACCAATAACCATAAACCGGCCTGCACGGTGCTTAAACGTAGCGAAGATTGTAATTAGTTCGTCGTAAACAAAAGCAGGGTTAGGAAAAGTGAGCGAAGAGTGCGGCTTTTCGAGCAAGGAGTATCATTTGATTGGGATTTTATGGGGCGGGATAATAAGATGATAGTACTTTTCAAGCGGTGGCGCAAGGTATGTTCATTTGCCGATAAAGCGCTGCATCGGCTACTGTATTATGTGTGTGTGAGCCGACCGAGGGAATACCCCAGGACTCTGACAATAAAAGACTGTTGGATATTCTTCGAGAAGGCATGACAGTAAAATTTTGACCACCCTGTAGTCCTTGTGGTAGGGCTGGTTGGATATTCCACAATTAGTACTTCCATGTACTGTACGTATAGACAACTTTGAGTTCTCAAATTGCCTACATCCTTTATTTCACCTTACGTCTATATTGCTTGGACCAGAGAGAATATTGCTAATTGACCAAGTGGAGCGGATCGAGGAGATATTGTTGGCTTTGCCTCCGTTCTGCTGAGATCGCTACCCGCAGCGTGCTTTCGCTCTCAATCACTCTATTTCTTCTATGCTGTATATTCCTAATTAGCTACATCATCTCCCTTAATGTACTACAGCTCCCCAGCGAGTGAAAGCTATTATGCGATCCATGGCAACTATCCCCGACTTTCCGATGTTGCAGCTATAACGATTCAATGACTTCGGATAAAAACTGTTTTGTGACGTCTGCCCCCTGACCAGACATCCATGGAAGTGAACTGGTGATTACACAGAGCTCGACCAGGATGTATCAGACGGTAGGTACTTGCGGAGCAGGGAAAATATGCCATATTTTGGTATTCCCTCTCAGACGGTGTGCAATAACAGACATATATTCAAAGTTTCACCACTTTGGGCGTTGTTGAGGCTCAAGTCTCAATTCGGGCACATTATTGCCGTAAAAATGCTGGTTATAAAGTGGACTACACACAGCAAAAATCAAAACTATTTGATCAGCCTATAGAGGACGAGCTTTACAGGCCCTGGGTGTGAAGCTTAGCAAATTGAATCGATCCCAAACTGCCAGGCCCGCCATGTAAACTGGTGGGAGAAAATATCTTGGTTCTGTGACTAACTATCGAAGAAGGAAGAATCCACCTGGAAAAGGGCCCTGGAGCAAACAGAGAGGCTAGCCTTAGGCAGCTAGATTGCTGCCAAGGCAGGTTGATGCATTTTAGCCTGGCCTATTTGTAGGGAACCTTCAATACACATATTGCGCATCTGACATGGAGGGCAAATTGTTAAGACAAACTGACTGCATAGACAAGTAACATGAAACCGTTCCGAACTTTGAACACGAAAAATTGAAGCCTACGGCCAGACACACAAAACGATCGTGAGTACATAAGAACAGAGGTTCCTGTTATCCACATGTGACGGGTACATACCTTGTAAGCTAAGCCACTTCTTTACCCGCCATTTCAGTGTGCTCTATAGCAGGTTTGGCAGTGAACAATTCCACTGCCACATGCTCGTCATCACCTGCGAAGAGTCGGTCAACATCTTCAAGCTGAAGGCCTAGAGTTTCGTTAACATTGGTTCAGAAATCATGAAACATTTTCTGACCTTTGGTCTCTGGAAAGAAGAGATAGATGATGGGGACCCAGAGAGTATTCAATACAGCGAATATAATGTACGTTTTCCAGCCAATGTTGCTGATTGCTGGTGGCGTTATCTGTACAATAAGATAATTGCAAATCCAATTCGCGGCTGTACTTATTGATGAGCCACGTTGCCGTAGCCGTAGAGGTAGAATTTCTGATGGATAGACCTGGTGGATCTAGTTAGCCAGAACAGTCACTCCGTTAGATGTAAACTTACCCAAACAGTTGCTTGAAAACCAATAGTGAACGCTCCTTGGAATATAAAAAGCATTGCTGCTGCTGCAATGCCACTCTGGTGAGCGATGGCCGTACTATTCTGAACCTGGTAAATGAGAGCCGTCTGCGCAACCATTACAGCAGCCATGACTGAAACCATTGACAACAATAATGGACGTCGGCCGATGCGATCAATCAGGAACCATGGAATGAAGGAGGCGATAAAGAACCATGTTTGCAGAAAGCCCGACATCAAGCTAGACATATGCGCTGAAAACCCAACAGACTTCTCAAACAATGTCCCAGAGTAGTAAATTATGGCGTTGATTCCGCCTAGTTGCTGGAATATCTGAATGGCACATGCAATAAAGAATCGCTTCTGACTCTGGATCTTATCATTCTTGAGAAGGTCTTTCCAAGAACCAGCTCCGATAGCCTTTTCAACGGCAACAGTGCGAATGATATCTTCATGGAGGGCTAGAATATCAGAGTCGGGTATCTTTCCATGATTTAACCGGCGAAGGACATCCAATGCTTGGTCATGGTGGTCATGGGCTGCAAGCCACCGTGGGGTCTCGTCCACAAGGAGCAGTAGTATAAGCATAGGGAGAAGAAATGCGCACTGGAGGATAACGGGTACACGCCAGGAGTAGCTAGCGGTTTGTGCGGAGAAGCCGTAATCAATCCAATACACCAAGAGGATTCCAAAATTAAGGGTGGATATTTGCATACAGACATCTGTTCCGTGTTAGTATTCAGTATCGCGGCATTTGGAAGACGGTAGCACATACACAATCCTCGGGAAGCCTTCGGAGCAAACTCGGCCTGCATTACTGGGACTGTCGAGTTCACCATGCCAAGGCCAATGCCAGAGACAACCCGCCCGACGATGAGGTGCGCTCGATGATAAGCTGTAGCTTGTAGAACTGATCCGACGATCAGGGTGACGACGCCAATAGCAATACTTTTCTTGCGTCCCAAGCTTTCGCCTACGAACGCAGTACATATACTCCCAAAAAATGCACCGACCTCCATGATAGAAACAATAAGGCCAACCATGGTTGGATTAGGCGAATCGAATGTCTCATTGAAGGCACGTTGGTTCACGAGGCCTCCCATGAGGCCATTGTCATACCTGTATCTGGTCAATCACGTCTATTGAAACCTGCAAAGCCAAGCACTTATCGACTTACCCAATCTGCATGAAACCAAGCGCCGTCAACGCCGTCACGGCAGCAAAGAGGTTATTTCCTTGTAGTTTCATGCTGTAGCTGGGGTGCGATTTACGCAGTGTACAGCACAAATTGTTAAATACAACTCGGAGAAAGTCACTAAAACTTCGCCGCGGAACGTAGTAGCTTAGTGAACTGCGTTTGGAGCAAAACGCAGAGGAATGTAAACACAAATATTACATGCAGAGAGAGCAAGGTTCATCCTCATATAATGTCCCGTTAAGGGAAATATGTCTTCGGTCACATGGGTTGTTTGGGCCCATTGATGTCCAAAATTCAAACTGAAGCCCTATACTATACGAGCAGGGCGCAAAACTTCGCCTTACACACTAACCGCGCAGATAACTGGATACCCCACAGAGTGGCCATATGTAGGTTTAGAGCCAAATGCTATCATTTCAGTCACCGATAGCGGGTCACTAGACCTCATTATATCGGTAATTAACTGAACTGGGTTGAATAGGAGGTAAGAGTCGGGGACTTCCGGTTTCTTTTGGATGTTCTAGACTCATTTCGAAGGCCAGCAATATCGGGGGTGGCGTCAAACTTTGCTTAGACCATGGTTCAATGTACCCTTCAGCGATATTGTTTCGGCCGACAAGGTATTGTGGCAGAAAACCAACTTTGCAGACATTCGGATCTGGAGTGTGGCATACGAGCCCCAATGGTGTTAAAAGTCTGGGGCGTCAATCCATCAATAACTTCGCACCAATGACCCGCAATTGCCGAAACAGCAAAATACCACGGTATTGTTAAGATGAGCAGAGCAACCCCTGAGAATCAGAGCTTTTACCGATAGATTCTAAATCGCTATGCATTTATCCTGCCAACTGCTTTGAAAAGATCACTTATGGGGAGAGACCGAGGAGATCAGGTAGTTCCTCGCACCTAGGGCTATAAGTCAAGCTTTTCAAGCCTATGGATGAATTCAGGAGATAGGCTTCACGCACGAATCACTGCCAGTACTAAGATGCGGGGTAAGTTGAACATTGCCTATCGGTTACCGATTTGGATGCATAATGTATGTCGGCAATTGAGTTGTTCCAAACAATCGGCTAAAGCTTATGGATTTGAGTTTCAGCCCAACTCGAGAGGTTTTGGTTTTTTTTTTTTTTTTTTTTTTTTTTTTTTTTTTTACCTAGTGTTAGCCAAACATATGCATAGCCGCTCGGGCCATAATAATGATTACGCTGTTGGATTCTGCATACATGAGAGGAACGATTTCAATAATTTAGTGCAAAACATTGAGAGTACTCTGGATCACCGCCAAGGTTGTTCGCTATGGCCAACTTCCAAGTCAACTTTCATAAACATCAACCCGCAAATTTCGACAAGATTTTAGGTGCCAACCCTCAAGTTTCCATTCTGGCGGATGGAGGTGATTTACCTCTTTACCATGAAGCGTGCATTTACCATGCACCCTCACGCAGCGTCTTCGTGACTTCCAATCAGTTGGCCACTTCTTCCGACCAAGCGAACCCAGCGACTGCAAACAAGATTGTCAAGCTCACCAGGGTCTACGATCCTGAGCCGAATCTCGCCACCGGACCACACGTGACCGAAGTCGAGAATATCACATTCCCAAGTATCACTGGTACAATGCTAAACGGTGGTGTAAATTTTGACTCGGAAAACATTCTTCTTTGCGCACAGGGCTCGAGGGACCCAGAAGATCCATCGGGAATTATCAAACTTGCGGTTCCATTCGTTGCCAGTGGCGATACAGTCTTTGAGACTGTGATCGAATCGTTCCATGGAATCCCGTTCAATTCTGTCAACGACGTGATCGTCCATCCCCATGACCGATCTATTTGGTTTACAGACCCTCCATATG